TCACAACATCAGGCGGGAGGCTCAACCAAACCCCCACACATCAGTAGGGTCCTCAGGGCATCAATAATAATCCACATTGTTGAAGGTCATACAAATACAGGTCACTTTGGATTCAGTCTTGTAGGCAACCAGCTTCTCTACGTATATGAAACGACAGGACACGTGGAAGAAAAGGAAACCAAAGGTTGTGTTTTATATTCTGTTTAAAACTACGGCGGAAAAGAAATGAAGCCACGTGTATTCTTTAAACTTTGGTCTTTGTAGAGTTTGACAGTATGGCCTCTGGGAAAAATGTCTAGTGCCTGCAACCCACTTGTCAAGTTCAGTCTGGCGATGCCTAGTCAAATCCATAGAAATCCCACCAGATTTTCACCCAAACATTTGTCTCTTCACTTCTGACATCACTTCCTATACTTCCAAAATCAACTTCCTCATTGTGTCTTTCTTCGTGCAAGGACACGAGGAAAGACGCGTCTCTATTTAAACGTTCTCAGACCTCTGGATCAGCAAAATAATAAATAAAAATCTTTACTTACTATTATTTAACAAGCTTTTTAGTGTTTGCTACTAAGATTAATTCATTTTTGTCTCCTTACACATGGGGGATTTTTACTGCTTTGTAGCATGATGTAGACTTTTAAGTGATTTGTCTGTTCAAATCTGATCCTTGTGGAACAACTGTTTTTTTCTTGTTTTGTTTTTGTCTTCAATGTTTTAAATTTTATTCTAGTATAGCCTGTAACAAGTCTGAAGTATATATAAATCAATTTTTCTTTGTAAGTGGAAAAAATATTTTCCACTTATTTAGATTCATGATGCTAATTTAAAATAAGGCAAAAATCTAACAGTTTTTTTCTTCCTGATCAAACTTTGTTCATGTTCTGAGTTTTCGCTGCCCACTTTTTTGTATCTTACTCTTATTGCATCTTTCTTTTTTTCAAATTATGCCACATTTCTGTTCATTTTGAGCTGGAGTGATGCACATGCCACAAAACCCAATAACCTCAATGCTCCTTTCCACTCCACCCCCCACCTTTCCCGCAGTGACAGACAGGGCCTTGATTACATCATAAGCTGCCTGAACCTCCTCTGCTTTAAAGCCTGGGATTTGCTAGCAGGGCCCTTCTGTTGCGGAGCAGAACAGAGAGAGAGAGAGAAGCATACAGGCCCTAATCTATCAGGCGTCATAGTGTGCATCCCACTCTTCCTCCAGATTAAAGCCGAACAAGATTGTGTTCAGACAGATGAAAACATCCTTTATTGGTTATTGTCCTAAACTCTCCCCTGTCGTTTTGGATTGGAACCTTGAAAGTGTGATTCGCACAAGACCAAGTGCATGTCTCCATGTAACATTTTAAGTTTGATATGCAAACCAACTCTGTAGATTAAAGGACTTATTAGCATGTTTTCCTGCAAAAGCCTGCCTCCCTCCCTTTCAGTCAGCAGCACCGCCACAAAGTGCTATCAAATCTTTTAGTAGGTGATGCAGCGGCTTTGTGTTTTGTAAGTCCGTGTTAGAAATAAACTTAATGGATAAATGATTGAAATGTAGAGGATATCGAGTACTGCAAACGGCTACCAGTTTAGCTTTAATTATAAAACTTAATGATCAATAAAATATCTTTTTTAGGTCAACTCCCAGGTATTCGGTGGGGGCAAGCCTGGCGCCCACGGACACCCTGTTGGTGACCTCTGACCTAGACAGAAAAGCTTTGGTTCTCCATCATGAAAGCAATATATGTAGCAGTGAAAGATCCATCCGAAGAGGGGAGCCACCGCCATTGATCCTTCTTACTTGTCGGATGAAGCTCCAGCCATGACTTTAGTGGCCGCAGCACCGCAGGGGGTCAGGGGGTGCACTGCAGGGTGAGGGGCTGGGTTACTCTTTTTGTCCAGAGTCCTGCAAGCAGACTCTGTAGCCGGGCTTTAATCTCCACTAATCGTTTCTTAATACGTGTGCATCCCAGGCCCTCCACCTCTGCACACAGGCACACATATTCCACACATATGGATGACATGCTTCTGGCCTGAGCCCCCACTTGCTCAAACAAGACTTAATCTCTTAAAAAAAAAAAAAAAAGTCACTGCTTTGGAACCAGATGAACGCATACTTCCAGTTGTCCCTTATCAAATTGCCTGCGAGCTTCCTAAGATTTGACCTTTTGTGAATTTCAACATGACCGAATAACTGTATGCACTAAATCTTTAATTGGAGTTTTTGCGACCTAAACTGGAAACACTTCACACTTTATTCTTTATACTTGAAATAGTGTAATGTCTAGAAAGCTATATATATATATATATATATATATATATATATATATATATATATATATATATATATATATATAGATAGATAGAAGAGTTAAGAAAAGCATATTCGGTTTGTGATACAGCTTTTTCACATTTCCCCCAGTCCACCTCTGATTGGTTGAACCCTTCAAGCTCTAATCAAGCTCTTCTTGAGGACTCCTCTTCCAGAAGCAGGCACTGGTAAAAGCAGTGCTTGGTCCGCGATTCAGTAAGAAAGAACTACAAAACGCACCAAGAGGGTTTGCCCTGACCAAGTCATTGCTATAATTAATGACTATTAATGACCAGCAAATTGTTGACATTGTTTTGTAGAAATCAGTTGTCACTTTGACATTAAAGCCTCACCTGTTTTAAACTTTTTTTTTGTTTTAAATCAGAAAAGCTACATCTTGTTGATCATGACTGACTTGTAAACGCAATAGAAGGGTAAAACATCCAAGGGAGTGAATAGTTTTACATGCACTGTCCATCAATGTGCGAGCTAAGCAGTAAGGTTGAATTGCAATTGCACAGCACAAGTGGAAAAAGTTTGCTTTTGAGATCGACTGACAGACGGGCCTGATTGATCCATGAGCCTCAAGCTAAGATACCTTAATCACACTACAAAGTGGAAAGACACGCTTGGAGATCCCGTCTTCCAAACCACATCTCCGTAAGATGGAAAACGTTCAAACGATCTGTGGAAAGGCAATGAAAAATAATGGGATAAAAACGCTGGCATGCTTGCTGATGAAGCATCTTCCGCCTTAAATGCAGCCTAATAGCGGCCGACTCACACCTCCGTCCAACTCCGGTCCAGACACTGCGTAAGGACGAAGATAATCTTATTCCACTAATGCTCTGCAGCCTGCATTAGAACACAGAAGCTCTGTCTCAGCTCGACTCTACCCACCCAGGAAGCTGTGAGTGAGTCAGACCGAGGGAGAAAGGGGCCAGAGAGTTGCTGAAGGTGGTGGTTGGGAGGCGGGGTGGTCTGCGGGGATAGAGGGTGCACTCAAAAATGCAGTGTAACCTGATCTGTTCGGCCCATCTGGAGAAGGCCTGGCATTGACAGGGGCGATCCCACAATGCACTTTGCTGCAGAGAAGATCGTTAGAGGGAAGCTGACACAATGGACGCAGTCTTTTTGGAAGAATTTATTACGGACCTTTTTTGGGGTGTGCTAAAAAAAGAAAAACAAGTAACTTGAGAGATGAGTCAGCAGGTGCCAGCACACAAACTACACACCGGATGGTTTTGGCTAAGGCATTTTGCCCGCTGAACACAGGATTTCATTTTAGATCATCCCAAATACGTATCTGAACAACCTTAGCACTTACCGACTCTTAGTGGCTCAACTGTTTGCTGAAGTCCAGTGATGACATCCTGGTAGATCAAATAGACACCAGGCCTTCAGGCAAACCGTTGACAATACAAATCATATTAGCTACAGCTCAAGTGTGGGCCATAAAGCAGGATTAATGCAAAGGCAGATAAAGGGTTTTAAATCCCACCATATCCCCCTGTCACCTACATTAGCAGACCCTGACCCAGATATAGAAAGCTCAGAGTAGAGCAGTTTTATTTTGTCTTGATTTGAGCCAGTGCAAGGCAACATCTGAGGGAGAGTCCCTCGCTCTCAACCATTCGTCGTCAACAAGGCTGCATTGAAAGAAGAGGGTAAGACGACACCGCATGGGTTGGCAATTATGCCACAGGAGCTAAGAGAGGAGTCCTCTGATGGCCGCTGGCTGCAAGCAGGAATGGCTGGACATCTGTGCATAAAGTCCACTGCAGCACATCTCGTATCACTGCGCCATCAAAGTCAAAAACCTATCAGGAAAAACTGACTGATGGGCAGAGAAATCCATTATTGTTGTTGCGTTATATCAGCACAAACTACAAGCAATTTGTTTCATCCATTAAACACATGAATGGCCTCAGACAACTTACTGCTATTGAGAGCTCTGCTTATCTATTTTTTAAGAATACGTCAGGTATTTTAGTGCATGTCAAAAAAAAGCGAGTGTGGTAAATTCAATCAAGCTATTATTTTCAATCAAGCCATTCCTTAAAGGTTCCTTGAAAGTTATCACTTTTGCACATGACGAACAAAATCTATCTATATCACTCCCATATGGTAATAAATATTACTTTAAGTGGTAAAAAAAATGATGACTCACCTCCAGTCTGCTAAAAATGTGATGGGTCTGCTAGCTAACTGATGTGGAAAGATGAGCTGACGGCTGAATTAAAACACCCATTCAAAGCTTCCTTCAGTTGTTATCTAGACAAAATGTGACTAGTTTTGACTGAATCTCCCCTTGGACTGCCTGTAGAAGATGCTAGCTAAAGATTGACATCGAATTCCAGAGGAGTCAAAGAGTTAGCCTGACACAAGCCACCAACGGATCTCCTCATCAAAGTCTTCACAGGGGCGCTCAGTAAAAATTTTGGTAACGTCACACTCCCAAAAGAAATGGGACAGTATGAGAATCTCACAATAGCGTTGAAGAAACATGGTTTAATAGTATTTACATTAAAATTAACATAACAAGCAGCTATAAGTTTGGCTAGTCGGGCTACTTGCTAATTGCTGTAGCTAATTGCTTAACAGGCATTCATTCAAATATGTCAAAGTCAGACATATTTGACAAAATCAAATATGTCTGATTTTTTTTTTTTTTTTTTACTTAACATTGTTAAGCTAACCCTTAATGTTAAGGGTTAGCTTATGTGGGGCAATATTTGGGGTAGGAGCAGAGCAACTTTGACTGAAAAACACTCCAGTCATTACAACACTCTGTTTAGCATCATATTAACAGCATTTTAAACTATAAGAACACTGTGTTGGGATTTTTTAGTGTGTTTTGGAACTTTTTAAAATCTCAATATTCCTTAAAAATTGGTAAGTGACCTGAAGGCAGGTGCTTTTCTTCAGCAGTCAGTGGACAAGAGGCTACTAGTCTATGGGTACCTGATGGTTAGTGTGCTTTTCATGGGGATATAGTCATGTAAAACAGTGGTTCCCAACCCTGGTTCTCAGGCCCCGTCCAACATGTTTAAGATGCGTCTTTGTTCCTGCACATATGTTGCATATAACACCTGTTGAGTGCGTGACCTTCTCTGCATGCTATCTAGTTAGTCACCCAGTTAAGTCAGGTGTGTGACAGCAAGGAGACACTTAAAACATTCAGGACAGGGGTGCTTGAGGAACTTTGTTGAGAATTAATGATCTAAAACAGAGACAATACAATATTGAGTAGAATATTTTGATGAATTAACTTCTCATTTTTTACCAGAACATACTGTATACACCCCACTAACAGCGGTTTTATTGAAAGGTACAAGGTTTTTTTGGAGTATTCAGCTCTGACTGCATTCTGTTAAAAAAAAAAAAAAAGGAACTTTTATTGACCTTTGACTAAAAACTCCATATTAACATAATTGGAAGGTAAGGGATGAATGGATGGACTTGAAACTTTGAGGTATGTTTTGTCTTCTCCTGTGCATACAATGCAATCAATTTGTATGGCAGACTCCAAAGTGCCCACAAACAGATGCAGTGAGCATCAAATTTGCCATGAATTTTCAGAACATTTATGACAGTGTAGTTGTCTTTTTTTTACTTACATAACATCAAAAATGTGAGGCTTTTTCTTGAATCCAACCATTGCAATTGTATGTGACCTGTCCAGACGCATAACCCGTTGTAGATACGTTCCAGCAGCAGGGTGTGAAAAACGGACGGATGGATGACCTTCGAGACCACGTACCAAAAGCCTAAAATGACCTTCACGGAGTTACTGGAGCTCTGAGGCCAGGGTGTGCAGGGGAGGAACAGAGGCTCACCCCACCCTTCATCACCTTCAGCCACTCACTCACTCACTAAAAATGTAAAAATGTTCCTCAGACTTTAAATCAGCAACAGGACCAGCCCAGGTTGTTGTCTCTTTTAGCTGGCGGACGCTCCCAGACAGTAGTTGGCAAGTCTAGAACCACCGGATCCATCTACCTCACCAGTGTGAGTTCTACCATTGCCAAACACCACCTGAGAGCTGCCGGGACTCTGAACCCATAGAAGCCAAAAAGACAAAGACAAAATCACACGAAGACAGTTTGCTATGGAGCTACAGATGCACATGGGTGGAAAAAAAAAAAAAAAACATGTCTGATTTTTTCTTTGATTTGGGGAGAGTCCTCTTGGGTGTTGGCTTCCATTACAACATTCTCATAAAATGGGTCCATTTCCCCCCCGAGGAATATAAACGAGAGTTAAGCAACCAAACAAATCAAACTGGATGGTGAAAGCATTCCAATCCGCAGTCAAGTAAATTCGTTGGAAATCTGTCTTGTCCTATATTGGCACTACACATAATTGCTCAAAGTATATATACAGAAGCAAAAATGTGCTAGTGCCAAAATGGGCAAAGAAGAAGAGTGGCTTGGGTATCCAAGGGCAAAGCAGCTGTTGTCACAGAGACACACAGATGAAAAGATGAACATGTCGCAATACGGCCCATCCACCAGAACGTTACATCACTTTCCCCATCCCACCCATGAACGACAGAAAAGCATAGCAGCAGAAAGTAAGCTGAGAAGAAAGTGGTTCTTTCTCTGCTCTGTTTATGGCCCTATGGTAATTCACTGATAGCGAGCTCTCACAGTGAATTCTACCAGTGCCATACACAGAACAGGAGTCGTTATCAGCACCCAAAACGCCCTACGGATCGGCTGGTTAGCGAGTCTGGGCGAGGACACTAAGACCAGCGGAGCAAAGCTACGCGCCACATAGACCACCACAGACAGGCCTCCGGTGAGCGGAGGAGAAACAGCAGACCAGAGAGCGAAAGTGCCAGGAAAGAAGTTATGCCACGAAGGTGGAGGGGATACGCAGTGGTTTGTAGCAGTGACGCAGCTTTTAACTCAGATGTGCTGCAGTGCGGTGGACTGACCCAGACATTGAGTAACAGGTCAAAGACTACTGTGTCTGGACTAAATATAAGTCCAGCCAATCCCGAGGGCGCACAAACACCCTCGACTAGCCGTTTACGGCTAATCACCTGCGTTGCCATCTTTAGATTTCGAGGAAATCAGGGGTTATAATTAACCAATCAGGTAGAAAACTATTCTTAAAACAAATGTAAACAAGGCACATCTGAATGGGTACATTGTGCAATGTAGCCACAAGAAGCTCAAATTTAGAGTTGTACCTATTGGACTTTATTGGTGAGACTTTTTTTTAAGGTTTAAGACGAAAAATTGTGTGGCAGGTGCATTGATTAGGATAGTAATTTTGAATCCAACAACAACAAAAAATAGGGAACTACCCACATTTATGCGTATTTATCCAATTTTTATTAACCTACAAAAAAAAAAAAAAAATTCAACAAAGTACCTGCTCTTGGTTGATGCGGTTATTGCAAATACATTTGTAAATTTTCAATTTTTCAATGTTAGAGCAGAGGATCTGATTTCTGGCTGGCTGACTGGTGCAGCTCGACTAAAATCTAACCGGTGCATCATAAAGAAAAAACAAAAGGCCAATCTTGCAAAATGAAAACTATTTTGACAAGTCAAAATGACGAACAAATGATCATTTGATTAAAATGACAAGGCCCAGCAAACAAATACCAAATGTAGCTGTGAAAACATAAAAACAAATCAGAGCAAATAGAGTCCTACAAAAGTACATATTCACACAGCCATGTTAGACAAAAGGTTTACCCCAGGAGTTAATCTCTTAACATCCTGACCACATCCACAGCATGTCCAGAGACAGTCACCTTTAACATGACCTCTGCAGATTAGGGTCGTTTTACTTTCCAGCCAATACTCTTCTGGGAATGACATCTTTACAGATTTTGGGAGAAAATTAACGTCAGCCTTAAACTCAGTTGTGTAGATTAGCTTTTCAATTAACTGGCGTACACAAGTTAGCTCCCTCACCAACTCAAATGAGCCCACAAAACATAATAGAGCAAGTGTCTTACGAGAACCCGAACAAATTTGGTTATGGAAAATGCTATTCGTAAAGCGGACGCAACAACGACCTAACAGCAAATGACTGACCTTGACTCTGTTGTGTACAGCATCCCTCTGCTACAGATAATCCGAGAGGAATGAGCTTTCTCAGTCCCTCAGCCCCCCGTCCTGCCGTGCCAGGGCCCGTGCAGAAGACGCCCCACCCTTGGTTCGGCCATTAGCTTCCCTGCACTGTGGGGCCCCGCAGTGCAACGGAGCTCCCATTGATTCTCAGCGATCAAACCATGTACTAAGTGATTCCTCAGACGCCCAAATGGCTTCCTGAGCAAGACTCTCGATACCATTTCCTGGAGAAATCAATACCACTAAAAAGCCAAGTCGGGCAAAAATAAATAAATAAAACAGAAGAAACACTGTCTCCTTCTTACTCATTCTAGGATGATATTTTTTTTCTAGCCATGCTTTTTTTTTTTTTTTAAACTGGAAGACTTTAAAGACTCAAGGATGTAAAGTGGAGAAAATGTTGTTTTTGACAGAAAACTGCAGCTTTTAATTTTTAAATTCTCTCACTGAGAAAATACGCCTGGACTTTAAAATGTGAATCATTATCGAGGCCAGCAGATAAATAATACACCAAACAGCAAAACCACTTTGGTGGACTGAGGTGTTTTTAAGTATTTAACGGGCTTACATTTTCGACCTGATCATTTTTTTTAAAATACAAATTACTCAAACTGAAATGTAATTGGGAATTTCATGGAAGACATTGCTCGTTTCTTCTAATTATAAGGTTGTAATAATTATAAGAGAACATATTCAATCCAACTAATTAAGCTGACAAAAAAAAAATCAGCTTGTTTTATGTCATGACGAAAATAAGTCATGACTTCTGTAAAATATTCGAAGGATGCTAAAATTATAATTCGACATTATGTGCAACACATTATGTCCTTTTGTCTGCTGGCCTTAAATCAACAACATGAGAGCTGCAACCCCCCCCCCCCCCCCCCCCCCCGTTAATCCCATTTTTCCCAGGAGGACCCTACAAGTCCTCAACTTCACGGTTATTTCAGGAGGATTTAGAGGTTCTCTAAGACCTGAGATCTCAGTTCACCATCAGCTATGCAACAACAGTCTCGAAAACAACTTGGATCATTTTGGTCACAAACCGAGTTTTGATGTTGCTGCTTACATTTTCAAACATGATGAGGATGTTTTTTTTTCTTTTTTGTGGTTTATATTTTTGACAACATTCCAATAATAATAATAATAATAATAATAATATTTAAAAATGATTTCCTAAAGTGGGAATAAACTGTGAAGTCCTTAAAGTTGTACAGTCACAAAATGAATCCTGGACCAGTCAGTATTCTCCATTTAAACGCACAGAAAAGCAGGTGCAACACGGTGAAGACAGCAGAGCAGCAGCCTTGAGAGCCCGCACGAACAGCGCCAAAAAAACACATTAGAGAAAAGCACTGTTTGGTTCTCAAAGAAGAAATACGATGGAGAACTGCATTTCTGAATCTTCGCGCTTGACTCGATCTTGACTATATATTTTTTAATGTCAAAAAATAGTCCCATCTCTTATTGGGTCTGCAATCAATTAAATATATTGCAGTAAATTCAGTTGTATTTTTAAGCTATTTAAAGCCGCATACAATATGTTTTATATGGATTTTGTTTTTAGATTAATCACTCAGAAGCTTTAACTAAATGAATTCAAGCTTTAAAAAAAAGAAAGAAAGAAAAAGAAAAAAAAGCCCTGATTTCACATTTATCCCTTGCTAGAGTATTAATTCGCGTCATACCTTTGAATCCCTTGCAGCTGATCGGCACATCTTACACACTAAAGTCGCTCACTTTCATCGCAAACCTATCATTACGCCTCAAAGCTTTTTGCTCCGGGTTTCAAGCCGAGTTGGTACTTGCTGATGGTGACACAAGCCTCCGCGCCGCAGCTCTGCAGGATCACAATGAGACAAAAGAAATCCAAACGCAGTCCTGAACTTCCTGAGTATCAAATGTCAAATTCAGCCCTCTGGACTCCTCTCCTCCTCTCTTTCTCTCCTCCTCTCCCACCGCCTACCTCCCTTTTTTTTTCTTTTTTTTTTTTTTTACCTGCGCGTCCAGAGCTGCTCGCTCTCGCAGGAAGAAGGAGAAAGGTGCACCTATTTAAAGGCGCAGGCACACACAGGAGCGACTCAAGCTCCAAGTCGAACGTAAAACTTAACAAGCGTTTAGATCCCGTCTTCTTCGGTGGTTTTTCGGTCGAAATGGATGAGGATGAGCGCTGACCTGCACTGAGCGAAAACAAAAAAAAAAAACAACCCAAAAACAAAACAGACTTTGAAAACAAAGAGTGTGAGAATTATTGCTGTGGCTTTTTGTTAAAGGCAGGGCCCAAGCAGCTTCCATTGAGTCTCCCTTCGCCTGCTGGACTTCAAACAGGCTGAGCGGATGAGGATTGGTTTAGTCTTTGCGGATTAAACGCTTTTGCAGCAAAATGATTTGGAGCAACCCCCTCCAAACTCAACCCCCCACCTCCACCTGTCCTGGGCAGTATCTTGAATATATATACATATATATTTTTTAATGGACAGATATTATTTTTCAGTGATGCGTTATGATCCATTTTTATTTAAACCTTTTAGTTTTTTTTTTTTTTAATCTGGACAGGAATATATTCCAACTGTTTCATCCATTTAAAAAAAAAAACAGACAGTAGAAACCCATCTGTTCTGCTGCACTATGACAATCCGTGCGACGATTTCAACGCAATTTTATTCAAATTGCACGTTTTGAAAAACAGCAGCACTGAATGCTTTTATCATAAATGACAAACCACTAACAGGCCGAAAGCATGGAGAGGCCTGCAGGCCTGGGCTTTATGCAATCTATAGATTACTAGTGCTATACCTTCACAACAGTTTAAAAAAATAAATTAATAATAATAATAATAATAATAATAATAATAATAATAATAATAATAATAAATTTTGTTCTTTAGAGAACCACATACAGCATCTTTCCTTTTCATGAATTGGAAGTAGAGCTGCAAAGTGGAAGCATAAAAAATACACTAAAACATAAGAGGAGCTGTTCAAGAAAGACAGGAACTTCAATCACAGAAGCTAACACAAGATAAACATTAGCTAGATGTTAAATACTTAAAGCCTTATACTTGAACCAAAACACAATTTATCATCGATTAAAGGCTAGACCTTTCTAGCCTTTCTAGTCTTAGGAACACTTTTAACAGCATAACTATTGAGAACAGTGCCTGTTTCGCTATGGAAATATTTGACCTTATTTCTGAATTGAGTCTAGTTCAATAAGTACAGTAGGGTGATATTGGAAGATCTGACTTCCTATAAATTGGAAGAGATCCATCCTGAAGACTCCTGCAAGAGGAATCTGGTTCTGCTGTAAAGTGTAATGCAGCATAGCATGCTGAGTTCAGTCCATTTTTATTGAGAAAATGTAACATGGATATAAATAATATGATCAGAGAAAGGATATTTAGACATGTCTTAAGGAAAAAAAGGGAACACCTTTTCAAATAATAATAATAACAATAACGTTTAGCTATAAGCTTTTCGAATACCTGAGGATAATTTCCCCACCTCCTCAGAATAGACTTTACATCAACCAGAGTGATAAAAGAAGATAAATCTTAACAGGTCAGCATCTGATGTGATGGTGCCGCAAATGATCATGTCATCAGCATATAAATACATTCTAGTGCTTTCTAGATTACAGCTCATGTTAAGCTAATAGAAGCTTTATTACACGGTTTTATATGCAATGTAATTCTGTATTACCAGCTGGGAACTTCAAACTCCACTTCAGAGTGTACACAGACCACATTAGGAGTTCCTATCCCCATTTGTTTGTAAAATAAAGAAATAAATAAAATTTAAAAATAAATAAGAAGAAGAATAAAATGGCACCGAGAACAGATCTCTGAGGAACACCAGTAGATATTTTAAGTGGAGCGTCTGTGTTGTTTTCTATGGTAACCATCTGAAGTTCTGTCAGACAAATAATTTCTACAGCAAAGACATCATTTCTGGTTAATTCATGAGAATAAAACACCCAAGACTTACACGTTTTAGCTAATCCCCCCTCATCCTCATCCACACAGGATTAGTTTTAGTCGGCTGCTGTTGCTGCTGCTGCAGTTCTCGCTTCGAGATGCTGCGAGATCAAATGACCACGTCCAGATGGCTAATGATTATCAAGCACTGCATTTAAAGCTCCCACTCCCCTGCAGATTGCGTAACACTTCCTTGTCCGGGAACAGCGAGGGAGAGCGGAGGGAAAAAAAATACCTCTGCTGCGACGCCAGAACTGTGCCAGCGTATTTCTTTTTCGTTCGTTTTTGTTTTACAACCCGATTTATAATAATGTCGCCAGAGCCTTCAGGTAAAGTTCATACGACCTGGTGATGGAGGGCCAGAGCTGCATCTCTGGGCCTTCACACGGCCTCTGCTCCGCCTCATCCTCCTCCTCCTTGGTTTTACGCAGCAGTGCGCACACATGGTGCGCCCGCTTTGCTTTTGGATGCTCAATATATGCGGCGGAGCGCTGGCCACGCTCCTCTCCGATGGGCAGTGAGAGTCCATTTACCTGCTGTTGATAATCAGATAACCGGGCGCACAAAACCCGTCTAATATTTAGAGGTGATGCGGCCGGCTTGGGTTACACTCCATTCAGAGCGAATAGCGACGGTGAAATCAATCCTGACCGCCGCCGCTCAGCAGGAACCCCTTCAAAAAAAAAAAAAAAAAAAAAAAAAAGAGAGAAAGAAAGAAAAAAAGCCTTGACGTGGTTTCCACCTGCTGAAACCCGAACCGCGGATCCGCCGTGTGTGTGTGTGTAAAGGAGAGGAGCTTTCTGAATATTTTAAAAAACCTCATTCGGTTCCTTTTCGTGACGGAACCCGATGAGATCGGATGATGGAGGCAGGAGGCACGCTGGAGGAAACAATGATGCTACGAGAATTAGTCACTGAAAGGGAATATTTCAATAACCTGGGTACTGATGAGGCAAGGGAGTGGCACCATCAAAAAGAAAAGAAAAAAAAAAAGAAAAAACAGTGACAGTCACCTGGTTGAATGAAAAAAATGAAGCAGCAGATGCATAAATGTAAATAAAACAAATAAGCTACGATAACAGTGATGATAAGTACAATCGAATCAAAAATTTATATATAAACACATTCATGTAAATAGGTAAAGCCGTGATAAACTTGAGCTGGAGAACATTTTCAAACAAATACAGTAAAACACAACCGAAAATAACTATAATTCATTCATTCATTAAAAAAAAAAGTGTTATTAAGAGCGTTTTCTAAAATGGGTGTCATACGTTAAATTCAACATACCAATATTTCGCAGCATATTTATCTGATTAATATTTCTCAGACCAATTCGTTATACATGTAAGGCTATTAAATGTACATGTATTTATTTATTTTTATTTTCGTTTGGGAAACAGTTGTGCCAGGTTTGCTTTTGGTTTCTCCTTCTTTCAGCCGCAGTTAGCTTCGAGTTGTTCTGTGTGTGTGTGTTGTTTATTTATTTATTTATTTATTTATTTATTTATTTATTTATTTTTTGCGTGTTAATCAGTAGTTTATGTATTAGTAAAGACCCGGCGATCATTGTACTACTTGCTGCTGTTGCAACCCCAGACATCAGTTACGGGTCTGAAACAGAGCTTGTAACCCGAGAGAACCAATCGTCTGCCACCAAACTCCATCCTGAGGAACCCAACACCTAGAACACACTGATGAGAGTTCCCTCTGATTGGTTGATGAGCTCCTGGCTTCCCAGCATGACGTTGTACGTGACCATTGTATTTGTATGCGCATTGTAGAAATTACTGAAAGAGACAACGTGGAATCAGCAGGGGGGTCTATTTTATGAGTGGGATACAACTTAATCTTTCAGTGCGGAGACTCGAGGTTCACTTCCTGCTAAAAGCTTTGTTCTGGAAAATGCTCGAGACAACAGCGATTGATCATGCCTCGCAGCAGACGGCTCGTGAGCTCTAATGTGGAGCCTGCGGGCTTCGTAATGCCTTAAAAGGCCACAGTGGCGCAGGACACCTGACCACCTCGTCTCAGCGCGGGCCAATCGGATGGCTGCTGCAAAGGCTTTTGGGATTACGTCAGCGGGTCTCGAGCAACGCACTGCGGATAAAACAGACGCTTTAAATATTTCATTGAGGTTCTCAGGTTGCTGGACTTCTGGAGGTCAGGGCGGGGGGGAAGAGACGGCCCCCATTCTCCCCTCCTTCCTCTCCACCCAATAACCTCATTCTAATGCGGAATTAAAGGGAAGTTTGGTTGAAATTGACAGTGATAGACCATCACAAAGTGATGCATGAATGTGAAGTGAAAGGAAATTGGGAACCGGTTGTGCAGAAGTGTTTATCCCTCTTTATTTATTTATTTTTTTAACACCTTAATGTATAAATCAGAATTAGAAAAATGTATAGAGCCCTCCAATTTTAACTTCATGTCAGTACGATTCCAGCTCTTAAAGGCAATTATTGGGGAAAACAAACAAACAAGCAAAAAAAACTTCATTAAAACCAAAGAACCCAGCAGCAGACTGGTTAAGATTTTTGGAGAATTTTAAAGCAGAGTTACCTTCTAAAACATCCGACACTGAACACATCTCCATGGAGATGCATGGTAGTGGCAACGTCATGCTGTGGCGATATATATATATATCAAAAATAGATATCTTTTAAACCAAAAATGTTTTCTTTAAGCCCATTTTAATTCTTTTTGTGTTCCACTATGTAAAACCTCCCCTAAAATTCTGTGCAGCGTCCGATCTGTCAACGATTCTAAATTTAAGAAGCCATTTCCACATTTTAGTCAGTTTTCAGCTTCAGTTGCGCTTTAATTATTTGGCGGTTATTATGTCAGACGGGAGAGAGATTCCATCTTTTGGCTTTGCAGCAGTGATAAAGACAAACAGGAAGAGAGGACAGATTGCTGCGTGACAGAATACATTTTTCAGAGGAGAGCGGATTAAACAGCCTTATGTCAGAGCATTTATCCCCCCCTGCTGTGATTATACAGAGGGCCGGTGG